CACCAGCAAACATGTTTCATGATGATGATTAGTGTTAATCATTGTTACCATCCTTTCACTCAAGCTTACCGAACACTACTGGCTCAGTTTTTTTTGCGTTCTGTCTGTCAGTGCTTGCAGTGCAAGAAAATAGCAGCAATGGCTGTGGTGCTCATGCTAGTCAGCAGCAGGAACAATTCACCTGCAGCAATGGGCCTCTGCTGGATGACTCACCAACTGAAAGTGTCTTCAGAGATTAGGGCTCATGAGGTCCTGTGACGAAGTGCAAGTCAAAGAAGATGTTTTTCCACATCATATACCCTAAATGAACACTGAGGGATTTGGTATGTCCCTTCAGTTTAGTAACATATGGAGAAGACACGGCACAAATTCAGAGACAGCGGGAGATCATCATCAGAAGAATGGAAGATTGCAAAGGGCAATATTTTGCAATTCTCTTAGTGATTTCCAATCACTTCAGATCAACGTTTTTGACCTCAAATGTGGAACATTATCTTTCCAGCGGCTGAAGTGGAATGATCTTCATCTGAAACACTTTGGTCTAGGTTTTCTCATTCATATCATTTATATTAATATTGACATATCTAATATTTCAACTGTTGACACCATTTCGCTTCAGGATAAGTGCTTACATGACTGGAAAGAAAGATTTCTTGATTTTCTTTCATTCTTCAAGGGTTCATATTCTACATTTTTCATGGATTTTATTTTTTTTCCAGAGGTCCACTCATAATGTTTGTGTGGGTTCATGTATAAAAAACAGTGATAATTCACTTTTACATGACCATTTTCCCAGCCTTTCTTTATCTCTTTATTTTTTTGTTAGTGTGCCGTTAAGACCAATATATGTAAATGAACTCTTTTCTGATTGTAGCCGTATTCAAAAAGCTGAACGGGATGAAACACTGCTTATGGCTTCGATGGGGATGGACAGAGTACATACATATACAAAGTACATACCTATACAGCATTGTACACTATATGTATACACCGATCAGGTATAACATTATGTCCACCTCCTTGTTTCTACGCTCATTGTCCATTTTATCAGCTCCACTTACTATATAGGTGCACTTTGTAGTTCTACAATTACAGACTGTAGTCCATCTGTTTCTCTGCATACTTTGTTAGCCCCCTTTTACCTTGTTCTTCAGTGGTCAGGATCCCCATGGACCCTCACAGAGCAGGTACTATTTGTTTGGTGGATCATTCTCAGCACTGCAGTAACACTGCCGTGGTGGTGGTGTGTTTGCGTGTGTTGCGCTTGTCTGAGTGGATCAGACACAGCAGTGCTGCTGAAGTTTTTAAACACCTCAGTGTCACTGCTGGACTGAGAATAGTCCACCAACCAAACCTATCCAGCCAACAGCGTCCTGTGGGCAGTGTCCTGTGACCTTTGATGAAGGACTAGAGGATGACCAACACAATCTGTGTAGCAGCAGATGAGCTATCGTCTCTGACTTCACATCTACAAGGTGGACTGACAAGGTAGGAGTGTCTAATTGAGTGGACAGTGAGTGGACACAGTGTTTAAAAACTTCAGCAGCTCTGCTGTGTCCAGACTACTGAAGAACAGGGTAAAAGGGGGCTAACAAAGTATGCAAAGATGGAGTAACAGATGGACTATAGTCTGTAATTGTAGAACTACAAAGTGCACCTATATAGTAAGTGGAGCTGATAAAATGGACAATGAGTGTAGAAACAAAGAAGTGGTCATAATGTTATGCCTGATTGGTGTATGTACACTGCTAGAAATGGTACTGTGCAGGTACATTTCCTTATTATTTTTAAAACAGAACAATAAAATAAAAAGATCAACTATGTTGTAGTGCACTTGCACAATATACTGAAAACTACTAAATATATACATAAAAATAATAAATAAAAAATAATTAGGCCAAATAAATTAGAGGAGTTTGGTCTTGGGCTTTTAGGTTGGGGCAGAAGTGCCACTGTAAAGAAAAGAGATGCACTGGATTTACAACACACGACAAAACAAGAGCATCACGGCAAAACAGAATGTGCTGCCCTTTACATATTAGGTAAATTTAATGTTGAATATACTAAAAATCTTATATTTTTTGTAAGGGAAAAAAGACTTGCTTGAACAGAACTGACAGTTTTAATACTTCACTATGAAAATGAAATAATAATGTATTAACACTTCATTTATAGTGGTTTATTTCAGGACAGTTATGTAATGTTGTTGCAATCTCCTGTACTGAAGCATTAACTGTCCTTTTAATTGACTACACCACAGTGAGCCTTTAAATGCTTCCTAAATCATCATCGACCTACTGTGTCCACACATCCCCTGACAAATATTGATTATGGAGGAGGTGATATTTATCAAATGCAATATGATCAATGATGTACCAACATCAAGAATCCATATTCGTTCACACACAATAATCTGACATTTAATTATTATATTTAAAGATTAATTATTATTTGAACACAACATGTCTTTGAGACTTAATTATGTCTTACGTAAGAGAATCTGAGCATGTAACTGAAAGAGAATATTGTTTACTGCTCCTGTAAGCACAGTATCAAACTACATGCTTCAGTAAAAATATGATTCTCTAAATCCTCTGTTGTGTTCATTACTGAACTGTGAAGTCTGACTGTGTGCTCACCAAAGCAATAAATCTGGTTCACCCATAAAAAATGAAGAGCTTCTGCTTCCATAACTTTTTGTTATGAATTTTCTGAAATGCTGTTCTGCCAAAGGTGTTTTTAAAACATAAGGTGTTCTGCTGACCCACCAATAACTCAACGGTTTTCACGGTTTTAAAATTTGAAGTAGTACTTTGGCATTTTAATAAACCCGTATTCAGGCTTTCTTAAAAGTTTTTATAAGTTCTTTTTTAAAGAGCCCATATTGCAGAAAACCAAATTTCTCTCACTTTCTTGTTTTGAAATAGGAGTCTGTATGTAATATCTAAGATCTTTAAAGTTTCAAAGGTGTCTTTTATTCTTTAGTCCACTTAGTCAATATATGGAAACTAAGTTAATTTGGAATGAATTGTTTATGTGATGTCACAAAAATTCCACAAAATCTTCATCCATCTTCCTTGTAACCAATTCCTGCCATGTGATGTCATCAGTGTGCCTCCTCCTCCTCCTACTACTCTACCTCATAAGTTATTGTGTAATTCAGTTTCATTTATAGAATTAGCCATCAACTCTTTAAACTTGCTTAGCAGCTAGTTTTCTGCATGGCTGAGCTAAACAATCCCTCCAAAAATGTGGGTTTTCCAGAGACAGAGCATTCCGTGACTTATTATAAATACCCTAGATTTCAGAGGACGCATTGGATGAGCAGAAGCCTACAAACCTTTTTGTGTGTTCTTTACCCATTTCATCCATCAACATGGATTGGACCTTAATTAATTAATAATCCTATTTGGGAAACATGAGACAAAACATTTTAATTCTAAAAATCATTGTTTTAAGTGATTATTGCCTGAGATATTAGTTCAAAAGGAGATGTCTACTAAAGGTGGGGACGGTTTTAGATGGTTGTATAGGTTTATCTGTGTAAAAAGTGACCTTCTATCTACACTCTCAGAAAAAAAAGTACAAAATTGTCACTGTGGTAGAACCCTTAAGGGTATGTATTCAGAATCTTTAGTCAGGGAACATCATTGTACAACAATAGCAAGACAATTATTCTGTTAGTTATATTTTGTTTTAGTTACATAGACTCTATGCATTTTGTCCTAAAGCTGTGGTTTTTATTTTATTTTCATATTTTATGATATTTTGAAACAAATATGATCCTTTTCCCTGGGAAAATGTTTCATAGATTCCCTGAACCTTTAAATGCAATTAAATCAAAAAACAAATACAAGAATTTATTAATTCAGAAAAAGACACATACAATCTATCTATCTATCTATCTATCTATCTATATATAAATATATATATATATATATATATATATATATATATATATATATATATGTGACATCACAGAACATCGCAGAATCACAGAAAAAGACACTATCTATCTATCTATCTATCTATCTATATATATATATATATATATATATATATATATATATATATATATATAATTAAATAGGATTAACTATGTTGTAGTGCACTTCCACAATATACTGAAAACTGAAAACAAGATAAAAATAATAAATAAAAATAAATTAGACCAAAATAAATTAGAGGACTTTGGCCTTGGGCTTTTAGGTTAGGGCAAAAGTGCCACTGTAAAGGAAAGGGGTGCACTGGATTTACAACACAAGACAAAACAAGAGCCTCACTGCAAAACAGAATGCGGCACAATAATTACTTTATCTCGATTACCTTGTTTTCATAATTGTTAGAAGCCAAACTCATAATAAAATTTGATGAATCTCCTAATCCTAGCTTGTGCCTTGTTGAAGAAAATGTACCTGTACAGTGCCCTTTGTTTTTGACAGTGTACGTTTTCAGACCTGGCATTATAAAAGCTGTGATCCACAGTCAAAAGTCTGAATAGCTTTCAGAACTAAAGTGGAAAGATTTGATGCTCAATGTAACACTTAAATGAAACCTGAATAGGTCCAAGAAAGTAGGACACATGCTTATCTTCTTTTCATACATGCAGTAACTACTGTTCTTGCTTTTGTTCCACCATATTAACTCCAGCTCTGAGTTGAATGTGCTCATTTATTCTGTCATTGAAGCTCTCTTTAAGAGAGTGGCTTTGACTTTCATGCTTGAGCTCACCTGCAAAGCCTAAGCAGCAGAAACAGCTGTGTGAAGGTTTCTTTCAGACAACTTTTCACAGTGTCACGCTCAGGCTTCTCAGTGCACTTCAGCTAGAGGGTTTGCTTTACACACCAAAGCCCAGCAAACTGAGCTGCCTGGTTTGAATTAAAAACAAACAGAGAGTTCTCCGTTTGACCACAGTTCAGTAACCTCACGCACTTCCATCTCAGAGTGCTGAGAGCACTGGGACCTCCCCAAACCTCTGCCTGTGTCTGGACGAGGCGGGAGCAGACAGTGAGAGGCTGCATGTTGCCGTGCCATCCCATCCTGACATTTGTAATGCTAATGCGGAGGTGTATTTGTAGCTCTGTGTGTATGTCCACGATCAAGGAGGAAGAGATTACTCTGTCTGCAGAGGTGGATAAATAAATTACTTCACAGGCTGTCATGATGACTGTGATTAGAGGAGGTACATTGGAGCATGGTCGAGGGGAGATAAAGCTGGAATTCTCAGGACAATGTCAGTAGCTGGCTCTGACTGAGAGGGAGAAATGGATGAGCGATACACCTCTAAATTATCCCCTGCTGTTGATTACAGTGCTGGCTTTTTCTTGCTGGTGGTGGGTAAGTAGTACCTTTACATATTGAAATTTCCACGTAATATCAAAGGGTTTTTTTTATACATTTATCCAGATCTGTTAACATAGTAGGCATAATAAATGCTTTGCCTTTTCTCTGAATCACTCAATTGTGGTTATTGCACAGCAATAGACGTCCAAAAATATATCCTGCCAGCAATTTATGTGATGCTGGTTATTAGTTTTTTCATGTGACCAGAAAGAAATTGGTCAGTAAGGGGTAAAATACATGTTTAAACATGTATACCACATCAAAACAACCTTCACACAAAAGTTCACATAAAAAGACAAAAGAAAAAGCCTGGATCATGATAGTACCATGTGTGATTAACACATTGATATCCATGACTAACTTTAGAATAATAAGGAAGCACAGAACTAGTCCTGATTGGTCTAAAGTGTTTAGTTCTACATTTTGTATTGGCTGAAATTGGTCTAGTTCTGATTTTTAGTTACACACGTTATAACATTATAATAACATCATTATATATTTACAGTCGAAAGTGTATACTTATTTACAGTCAAAAGTGTATACTTTATTATTTTGTCATTTGTTTTTATATTTTCTATTTTTTGTAGTCCCATGCAATCAAAACGCTGATTTTAATACAAAACATTGTGCTAAAACTCCCCTTTTAGCCATATAATATTATCAGTATCTTCAGATTTGTGTCCAAGCAAGCTTAGAGTACAGATATAGACATGAATAGGTTAAGAGTCATTCAAATGTATCAATTAATCATTCACAGTACACATTCTCCCCCACAGATATCTGAATTTGTATGCTTGCTCTAAAATGGCTCTTTGGGAACAACATCAATGAAGTTTGTTTTGACCATTCCATTATTCTCTGTAGCTTTTATCCTCTTGTGCAGTGGTCTCAGGGAGTCTTAATTTCATGTTGAGTTTTGAGTATGACTGTATCTGCTTTGTAGAACTGAGTGAATCTAACAGGGGGCATTCCCTATGAATTATGAAGGCTTAACTGGCAGCAATAAATCTTTCAGTGTAATGTCTGTGCAGTTATTCAGGTCAATACAGTAATATGACTGAACTGTATTTGAGACAGACATAAATTTAAAATGCATAATTGGACCTTAAAATCACTGTTGTACCTTTAAGGGTCCATGTACCTTGATGAACAAAAATGTACCTGCACAGCACTTATTCTAACAGTGTAAAATCAGACATGTCAGCATAACATCCATACACATAGCACAGAGCATAAAAAGGCTTAACAAAAATAACTTACCAGTTGTCTCCCACCCCACCATTCCTCACTAGTATTAAGAGTCTGGATGGCCAACACAGCTCTATATGAACACAGTTGCATATGAAAGAAACTCTCTACTGCTGTTTGTTCTTGTTCTTGGCCTGGATAGTGTGCTACATGACAGCTGGAACATAAATCCAGTGAACGATATCTCTGCATTGTTAAAGTATATTTACAATGATTTATGATGCAAGATCACTTAATTAAATCATTGATACACTCTTAAAAACTGAAGATTCCCAAATGGTTCTCTGCTTTAACATACTGTTCTAACAAAAAAATTATATAGACATTCAGTATTATTTAAATGTTCTTTAAACCTTAAAAAGGCTCTTCACCCTCACACATCTCATATTCAAAAATGTTTAATAAGAAAGGTTCTTTAAAGAACCAAAAAGAGGTTCTTTTCTGCGTCATTTTAGGCACCTTGTTTTTAGGAACACAGTCAACATCCACCAACAGAGCTGGGATGTAATGACATAGAAGTGTTTGGACTAGTATTCAGGATACAGAGATAAAGTATCTGTATTTAGTCCCTATCACAATCTGAAAAGTCAGTATTCAGAATATGCTTACTTTTGTATCAAAATACTTTTAGAATATGTTCATGAAAACATATTTTTTTGTAAGAAACAATCAATGCTTGTTTATGTATATTATGTATATTTTAAATCAGTGCAAACATGCCTGCTGGTGGACTCTACAAACAAACTCAACAAACGACTTCATTACAAATGCTGAAGCACGGGTAGACTGATAAATCAATATGAGGCATCAATTATTTATCTTAGTGTTGCTAAGCTCTTTTGATGAAGCATTGAACTCAACAACCTTTTCAGTACTCTCCTACCTCAACAGATGAAAACACAAAATGTAAGTATACAGCTTTTACATGGTTACGCTGGTGCATTTATGGTGTCACACTTTTGCTGAGTTCAGACAGGGGAAGTGCTGCTAGAGAGACTGCAGGAGCACCAGTGGACGAAAGCAGCTATAATGGAACAATTCTTCAAGGAAGAGTTATATGAAGAACATTGCTAAGAGTAATAGTGCAGAAGAGTGGGAGTAGAAAATACAGCAGCAGACTAAGCTGTGCATAAACGTTTTGAGCATTAAGTACTGGTGCTATAAAAACTGCAAGTTTGGTGGCACAAAATCTTTGGTGACAAAAAATGATTCAAAGAAATGTAAATCTCAAGTGTCGTTTTAACAAATTGTCATTTTAACCGTGGTTGTAAGTATATATTTCAATGTCATGAAATGTACAGATATTTCATCTTCTCCACAATCATGCTGAATTACCACAAAAGGGCACTTTTAGCACTCACTAAGCCTTTTTTGCATCTTTGAGAGGGAGGAAACCCACTCCAGCATTATCACATTTATGGTTTGAGTCATACATTTCTAAACAGAGAATGAAATAGTTTAGGTAAGACTCAGTGTTATTTAATGTGTTCTTTTTAATTTAATTAATTAATTCTGCATAATAGGCTAAAGATAGAATATAGGCTAAAGAAAGCAAGGACAGCAGACATAGCAAGAGGTGCCTCCATGTCTAAAGACACGTTTCAGCCAGGGCTGGGCAAGTAAAGAAGTAAAGAAAAGTAGAGTTGTTTTACCATATCAACCCCTAAATTCTTTTAATCAACCTGTAAAATGTGCAGTTGCTACTTTAATAAGGATGTAGGGACAAAATATGCAGCGATTCAGCAATGTTGACTGGATATTATAAACAAAATCATTGATAAAACAAACAAAAGAATAAAACACCAATACAGAATGTGAATAAAGTGTCAGAAATGGAAATGTTTCCATAATAATACCATATCAAAGTCCTCTGCACATTTCCTTTTTCTTCAAATCTGCTTCTTCTACACGTATCCTTTATAATGTTCTGCTAACACAGGAACATTTAATTTACAGCTTTTGTACACTATATTGCCAAAAGTACTTGCTCATCTGCCTTCACACACATATGAACTTGAGTGACATCCCATTCTTAATCCATGGGGTTTAATATGATGTTGGCCCACCCTTTGCAGCTATAACAGCTTCAACTCTTCTGGGAAGGCTTTCCACAAGGTTTAGGAGTGTGTTTATGGGAATTTTTGACCATTCTTCCAGAAGCGCATTTGTGAGGTCAGACACTGATGAGAAGGATGAGAAGGCCTGACTCGCAGTCTCTGCTCTAATTCATCCTAAAGGTGTTGGGTTGAGGTCAGGACTCTGTGCAGTTCTTCCAACCAAATCCATGTCTTTATGGACCTTGCTTTGTGCACTTGTGCGTAGTCATGTTGGAACAGGAAGTGGGCCATCCCCAAACTGTTCCCACAAAGTTGGGAGCATGAAATTGTCCAAAATCTCTTGGTCTGCTGAAGCATTAAGAGTTCCTTTCACTGGAACTGGGGCTGAGCCCAACTCCTGAAAAACAACCCCACACTATGATCCCCCCTCCACCAAACTTTACACTTGGCACAATACAGTCAGACAAGTACTGTTCTCCTGACAACTACCAAACCCGGACTCGTCCATCGGATTGCCAGATTGAGAAGCATGATTTGTCACTCCAGAGAACACGTCTCCACTGCTCCACTGCATTCGACGCTTTGCATTGCACTTGGTGATGTAAGGCTTAGATGAAGCTGCTCAGCCATGGAAACCCATTCCATGAAGCTCTCTACGCACTGTTCTTGAGCTAATCTGAAGGCCACATGAAGTTTGGAGGTCTGTAGCGATTGACTCTGCAGAAAGTTGGCGACCTCTGCGCACTACGCGCCTCATTTACATGGCCTACCACTTTATGGCTGAGTTGCTGTCTTTCCCAATTGCTTCCACTTTGTTATAATACCACTGACAGTTGACTGTGGAATATTTAGTAGCGAGGAAATTTCACGACTGGACTTGTTGCACAGGTGGCATCCTATCATGGTACCAGGCTCGAATTCACTGAGCTCCTGAGAGCGACCCATTCTTTCACAAATGTTTGTAGAAGCAGTCTGCATGCCTAGGTGCTTGGTTTTATACACCTGTGGCCATGGAAGTGATTGGAACACCTGAATTCAATCATTTGGATGGGTGAGTGAATACTTTTGGCAATATAGTGTATGTTTTAGAAGCTGAGTAGTCTTTCAGTAAAACTCTTCTTTCCTAAAACTGAACAAAAAATAATATTTTATATGTAAAAAATTGTGCTAAAACTAAGCTTCTTGTCTGGGTAATGTGGTGACCTGCTAAACACTGTAAGAGGTCTGCAGTCTGACAAGCTGATAAAATATTGGGTGAAGTGTCTCTCTATCGTGCCATGCTCTCTTGCATGTGTACTCTCTCTTCCTTGTTCTCTTTCTGCATGATGCTCTCTCTCTCCGCCCTGAATTAATTCATGGATGATAAGAATGAGGTGCGAATGAGCTGGGGTGAAATGTGTGAAATGTTAGCGTTAAAGTTTTGGGGCTGGATAAAAAATATTCAGGGCTACAACCCCGGAAAGCCAGGCCAGGCAACGCCCCTGGTTTCAGCAGGCAAACTGTGAACTCTTAAATCATTGCTGGCTTTAAATGTGACATAATAGCCCCAAACTAAACAACTTTTGAGCATTTTGTAAATCGTGAGACCTTTTGTCAACAAATATCTAGATTTGTTCTCCAGTATTCATGTTACCTGATGGACTACAAGTACCATAAACACTAGAACTTAACCTGCTTCGCAGTTCGCATGACTACGCTTGAGCAGATGGACAACATTGTTCGATAGAATAGCCCAGAAGTAACTGACTAGGAATAACTGACTACAACTTCTATGAGTACTTAGACTTGACAACATATTTGAATGGAGATTTACACACACACATACATAAAGGTCTATCACACTAATGTGACAGTGATCTTTTATGTATTTGCATGGGTTTATTTCTCATAGCATGCACAAAAATATTGTCTCATTGCAGAACCCTGGCAGAGTTTTTCCCATGTGCCTTATTTTGATATATAGCAGAACTAATCTAAATGTATTCTGATTACCTTACGTATTATGTATTGTAATAGAACACTGTATACATTTAAGTCAGTGTATGCAGTATTTTGCTATTACTACCATTACTATCATTATTGATTCTGCCAGCTTTTTACCCACAAAACTTGTTCTCCTTTGTAATTGTAGATACAGTACATTTATAATCTGTTTTATTATACCTACCTCCATTACAGAATTCAAACAGCACACACATGTCCTCAATGTCTGCTGCAAACACCTACTTGTCGACATATAGCACACTGCATAGAATTAGTTATGCATTTTTTTTATGTATGTATCATTTCTCAGAACTGGGCCTTGTCTCATTTGAAGGTTAGCTTCAAAACACCATTCAGAATGACCTTCTGCCCTCAGGGGATCAAGGTGTAGTGGTGCTCCACTTCAAAATAAATATCAGCAAACACACACACCGTGTCCCCTGAGGATCCTCCACTGATGTCTTTGTTAATGTTCTAAATCTCTTCAGTGTGCTTGTACATATGGGATAACTGCTGGGATATCAGGAGGGCACCTTAAACAGCACACTGTAGAAAGGCCTTGGCTGATGGATGGGATAAAACAGTTGTTCAAGTAGCTGTAATCACTAAGATAGTAGAGTTTCACAACAGTGCTCTTTGAGACACATAATTCATAGAATCAGTGTATTTTTAATTGCTTACATCCAATATATGTTATACTGGAAAGCAACTGCATGTTCATATTCATTAGCAAAAATATGTGTTCCTGTCAAATGGATTAATGCTTTCCCTCTTGTGTAGACAAATACTGCTAACTGCTATGTCAAGCTCTTTACGTGATTGGACAGAGAAAAAAATTAAATTAGAGCTTAGAAGAATAGCAGTCATTCAATTAATTACTCTGAAAAAAAAAATTATGGAAATCACTGATTGATTAAACTCAATGTGATTCACAGCCAACACATCAAATGTTCATAAAAGCCACCTTCAATCAGTTTTCTGTAAAAGCATCATAATGAGGCAAATAAACATTTTGGAGACATTCTTTAGATCATTGTCCTGCTGGAAGATCACCCTCTTAAAGAATAACAACACATACAGTCACAATGTACAATGTACAATACTAAATGCAACATGAACAATAAAGAGTTAAACAATAAAAAACTGCAAGAAATTTGAAGACATCTTATTACGTTAGTCAATGTTATTAGACAACTTTTACAATGTAGCCTGGAAACATCTGCATTCAAATATTGGTTGAAGAGTATAAAGATGTAACACTAAATAAATCATGTTTAATCACTGTGGTAGTCAAAAAATTGTGTCCTTTGTTGTAATTGGTTTTTAGTTGTATTGTAATGTAAATCATTTTAGCAATTTCTTTATGAATTTTTTATTCATGGACAATTTCAAGGCCAGTGTTGTCTTCTTTTTTTTAAGCAACAAACACATCTGGACTAAAATTAAAAATGTATAAAACCTCCACATAGCACTGAATCAATGCTGTTATTATTATGACTTTAAGGGAATAAAGTGCTCCTAGAGCTATTTTGTTATCTTTTCTTTTGCAACTGTTGCCAAAAGCATTACCTTTGTAAAACCTCAAGTGTAGGTTTTTTGAATGGTGCTGTATCTATGATATCTGTATATAATTTGATTGATTTTATTATTACATAATAACATGCTTTTCTTAAGAGGGGTTATTGCATTGTATTATTCAATATATGACTAATATTCACAAAAAGAAATAAAAATTAATCAAATCTCAAATGTTCGTATGGCATAATTATTCACCTCCTAGAAAAACACAACACAAATCCAATTGTATTCGCTAATAATTTAGGTCAAAAACAATGAACTGGAACTGGGGTCATTAAGGGCAAAAGTGGGTTTTTTTTTGGCAACAAGGTGAGTTTGACACATAGAGTCATGGTCATGCAGAAAATAACACTATCCTCAATATGGTGGTGAAATTGTGATGGGAGTCATGTTAAGATACAATGGACACCATGGACGCCATAAATACCTGGACATCGGAGGACTGTGCTAGAGACAAAATTTTCTCCAAGTATCACAGGAATTGGTTGCATCTTTGAGTCACCAAATCTCCAAAACAGCTCTCAAAGGCCACCTCCATGCCTATAAACTTTATAAAAGGTTTGCCAGAAGAAACCCTCTGCTTAGGCTCCTGGTATTGACTAAATCTCCCAGGACCTTTGACTAGAACAGGGTTCTATGGTTGGAGTGTTCAATCTTATTTCAAAGTGTGAGTGTAGGTGCTTGTTTCAACCAAGCAGAAGTACAACTCATTCTATATGTTAAACCAGCTGGTCTTGCTCTTCAAATAATTGTGTTGCCATAGAATCTGAAATCACATCAAACTTTGGCAGATGAAGTTTTACACTTCTGTTCTATGGCCAGATGAAATAAAAAACAGCTTTTTATCAACAACCTAAAAAGCATGCTGAAAACCTAATGCCCACTGTTGATAGATCACTTGATGGACACTGTGGGGTTGTTATTATTTCTAAAGGTCCTGAGAATATTCATGAATTAAACTGCATCATAAACAGTGATCCAAAGAATGCTTCCATAATATTTATTGGCCATATTGTGAAGCTTTTGCAGTGGTCAATGACTGGCTTAAACCCAATTGAAAACCTGTGGAATAAGGAGAATTCACAAGCGGTCAATGGACGAATGGTTTCAGAATTTCTTTACATGTGTTCTTCTACTTTATTCATCATTATAAGTGATTTGGAGCTGTTATCTTGGCAAAGAGATGGTGCACAATATAGTTAACAACTGTACCAATAATTTCTCCCATGTTTAGTGTAAGGAAAAGTTTGGTAGAAAGAACATTGCCATTGCTGATATAGAGGCACTCTCCATTTCATCTCCTTTCACTGTTCTCCCCCATAGCCATCCTGTCCATTTTGGGGAATGCTGCTGTCCTGATTACATCCGCTCGACGCCATGGTCTCCTGAAAGCCCCGGAGCTGCTCACTGTCAATTTGGCCGTGACAGACATCGGCATGGCACTCAGCATGTATCCGCTGTCCATCGCCTCAGCCTTCAACCATGCCTGGATCGGAGGTGATCCTTCCTGCCTGTACTACGGCCTGATGGGAATGATCTTCAGTGTGGCCAGTATTGTGACACTGGCTGTCATGGGCATGGTGAGATACCTGGTGACAGGAAATACTCGCAAAACAGGTACATATTTCAGAAGACCACACACCATATCCAGGCCTGCGCTTCGGTTTCCATTCGAAGAAATTGTTCGAAAAATAGATTGCAAAATTAGCTCATCTTTATTTTAGGTACTTAAACCAGCATAAATATTATAATATAAATAAACAATCTGGCCTTAGAGGTCATCATGTTCACAACATTGCACGCAGTATTTGGCATATATGAACATGCAAGCAAGATGTTATTATGAAAATGGAGACATCTGAAAATAAAAGGGCACAGAAAGATATATTGGAAATGGTGGAAGATCAAGGAGTAAGCTTTCACATGATGGCTTATTTTTTTGCAGTGGAGAGGCGATTGCTGAGCTTGAGAGGCTTAAAAAATACTGCCTGCCACACTTCATCATTTTTTCATTCTTTATTTCCTTCACTTCATTATTTATCACCACCTTCTAAGAGCACACAAGCCATTTGCCACACCGCATACTGACTAAGAAAAATCGGCCTTTCTACATAAATGAGGCAGGTGTGTGATAGCTTATTTATTTGTGACACATTCATGCTGTGCAAACTAAGAACTGGAAAAAGAAAAGAAAAATGACATTCTGGGTCTACATATAGTACTGTTTATAAGTGAGAGGTCATCTATCCTTTGTTTAATTTCTAGTCAAAACAGAAGTACAAGATATAAATTTTTAGCATCAAGAAAATAAGCAGGAAATACAGATTTAGCAGAAAAATACACGTCCCGTCATTGCCTTTATTGCACCTTCCATTGTTTTCAGAAGATTTGCTTTTAGTTTTTCTGCAGGTACATTTTTTCATACCTCCAAAGTTCAGTCTTAGAAGTCGGTTGAATTGAATTTTCTGCTTCTCACAATCCAAGTAATCCCAGACACATTCAGTGATGTTTAGGTCTAGACTGGTGGTCAGTCATACTGAGAACGGTGTATACTGAGAACACCAGTGGCTTCTATGCTTTATTTGTGAATTTTCTTCTTTTTTGTCTAGTTTCTTTTCTGAGTAACAGCTTCTTGACAGCTACATTTCTTTTCAGACTCATAATTTTGAATTGTCTTTTCACAGTGGAGGGATGGACAGAAACTCCTGTGGATATTTCAGATCTGAAGTAAGAGTGGAGCTTGTTTTTTTCTCTCTCTCTCTCAAAGACGAAAGCTTTAAGTGCTGTTTATCTAATGCTGAGAGAGTCCCATTTGGTTGCTAAGAGTCTCATTTTCTGTTTATCTTTTATTGGTTGTTTTTTTAACTCCTGCACTTTCTTTGCAAACTTCTGTTTTCACTTATTTTCCTTTGACTTCACTTTTTCTTATGCAAGTGTAACGACGCAGAAAGGGCAAGACGAAAGATGAGGCTTTAATATCAAAGGGTTTGACAAGAATTGTGGTCAGTAAACAAGCATGGGTCAGATCCAAAACAGCAAAAAGGTACAAAAAGGCAACCATAACCAGAGGGCAAAGACAAAAGGGAAAAAACAGAAATCCAGAAAAACAGTCCAAACACAAAAAAGGCAATCATAAAAACACTGGAGAAACGCTCAGTAGCTCTACAGGAGAAGCAATACCTCACAATCTGGCTAAGCTAAAGCCTGGGCTTTTAAACTAAACAAGTCATGTGACATTTAACACAGGTGAACAGAGTTAGTATTCAGGAGACTGTGAGCACTAATTGGAGCGTGAAGGGATGGTCAGGGTCATGTGAGTCAGGTGATCTCTCTGAGGGAGATGGTGTCTGAGTGTGCCTCAGGGCCAGAGGGATGCGTGACAGCAAGTGGATTATCTCATGTTTAACATCCTCAAAAATAACTCCTGAATACTTAAAATGAAATTTGTACTTAATGGCCATTTTGACTGGAAATTAAATAAATGAAGTCTGGTCTCTGACTTTTGCACAGTAGGTTACAGTGGACCTTGAATGAATATGATGAAAACAACCTGAAAAAATCATCATATCATATACACAGACATTTAGCACAAATCAATTAGGTAAATATTTGTAAACAGTTGTTTCTGCATTGTGAAAAAGCAGTGCTTTTAACAGAAAATCCAGATGCAAAAATTGGCAGAAAAAATACAAAATACATATGAACGAATATTTATGTGATTTCTTGTTATGTGTATAGCTCTGTGTCGTCATGAAATAATCAATATCAAAATCACCTTTTTTGTCATCCCAACATTATACAAGTGGAACCGTGAAATGAGACAGTGTTCCTCCAGGGCCTTGGTGCAACATGTACTCATAGCCTGTGCTTACAGACACACAGTACAATGTATGTGCAGTGATTTCAGGTTTTCTTAGGGCAGTAATCACCAACCCTCCTCCTAGAGATCTACTGTCCTGTAGAGAGTTTCAACCTGCCTCTACAATGCTGCCTCCTCCTTATCTAACACTGATGCATCTGATCCAGCCATTTAGGAACTACTGAAGAAGTTAGTTAGCTGGAGCAGGTCAAATTGAGGTTGGAACTAGATTCTGAAAGAGGCTAGATCTCTAGGACCAGGGCTGGTGACCACTGCCCTGGGGTATAAAAGTGATAAAAACCCACATAGGACATACTTTTGTCATCCATCAGAATTAGCAATGGAAAGTCAAAGAACTAACAAAGGAAATAATATGTAAAAACAAATAGAATCTATTATCAGTCAGATAAAATTGTATAAAAATAAAAAGATTCATGTACTGAAAAAAAGCTGAATGCTTTTAATATAGTAGGAGATCTTTAATGCTCTGGGACTGTTTGTCTGCCAGAAGTCCTGGAGCTTATGTGAAGGTCACTGCTGTCATAAATTCTCTGCAGCACTGGGATATTTTGGCCAAATATCTGGTTGCCTCTGCGGGAAGACTGTCTTGACTAAATAACATTTCAGCATGTGAATGATCCAGTCACCAAAGAAACAGTTGACTGAAAAGAAAACGATGATTTTGAAAACCTTGAGACTGAGCTGAAGGGGGTTTTCCATTAGCAGAAACCTCAAGGATCTGAAAAGGCTCTGCATGGAACAATGGGCCTCATCCATCAACTTAAATCCCACTCACACAGTTTTTACTAAGATTCTGACATTCACCCTCATTTTCTTATAAATTGTATCTCCATTTTTGTTCTTTTTCAATTTTTGTAATAATTCAAAAATACCAGTTATACTTTACATTGTGTTAAAATATAATAATGACTGGACCAATAGAATTGATCCAAAATTAACTGGAGAAAAATCTGGTCTGGAGATACATTGGCTTCATTCACCAACCATCCTTAAGGAGAGATTTATTCTTAAAACCCATGCAGTTTTCATGAAGATTCTGACATTCACCAGTGTTTTCTTATTTGTTCTTAGGTAAGAACAGAATCTGCACACCTTCAACAGCACAAAGGTGTGAAAAATTCTGTGGTTTAAAACATGTCATGAATCTGATGTAGACTTTTTCTTAGGACTTTTCTCAAGAACAAAGAAAAACTTAGGAAGGTATTGGTGATTGAGGCCCGATGTTTATCTGTGAATTCTGACATGTCTTTCTAAATTCAGAAAGGAAGTTTCACGTCACAAGAAAAAGTGAGATGCTTTTGCCCACTGTTGTACAGACCAACAAAAATAAATGCACACTGCATTGTCAAAGTCTTCACCTAATTAGACAAAAAGGGATTTAATGAATGCCATTTAATTCATTTAGAGAACTTCTTTTCTTTAAGGAGACAAAAAGATTCTAGGCAGAAAATTGTGCTCTGAATCTGTTTTCTAATCAACATGCCCCTAGAATCTGTTTTCTAATCAACATTCCCCTTTCCACAGAGATTGCATAACAAGCAATCACAGACAGCTTATTTATTCATAGCACAATTAGGTGGGGTGAAGAGAAATGAGAAATGAGAAAAAGAAAAGAAAAGAGTCTTTTTTGCTGTGGCTCTGTCACACACTGCAGCCAAAATGTTGGACAATGATGCAGATTTTGTGTTGCATTTAGAACAAAAGCTAAAGTGCAAAATGTCAGCTTTAATTTTAAGGTATGTACATCATTATTAGGTCAACCATGCAGGAATCACAACCCCTTTCATGTTGTTTAAGGTCACCGAAAGCAAGTGGACAAATGGCTGGTCTGTCAGTTTTTGGCCAGCTGTGTGTCACTCCAACGTAAGAAAGATATGAAAGGTCTATGGTCTGTTTTACATATGGTATTTGGATCTGGAGTCTCTTGTTATTGTCTCTCAACATAAGGACCAAAAATGTTTTAGTGTGGGTAAAACAGTCCAACACACAGCTGATAAAACTAGGTATTAGGTAGATAAAAAAGGCATTCAGTACTGTTAAAGAGAAGATAAGGAAGTACAATAATGAGCAAAAGTGAGAGATCACCCTAAATTAATTTAATTTACAGTCAAGACAACAGTTAAGGACAAATGATTCATTTTTCAGATGCATAGGAGATTAGATATATGATAATCCACTTGCATAAGGCAGAGGAAATGATTTCTAACAACCATGCAAGACCTTGTAGACACTGAAACTGTCAGCATCAGATAAACAGCACTGAAATCTTTCATTTTTTAAAGAGAGGAGAAAATCAAGCTCCACTGTTGCTCTAGATCTGAAAAATCTACAGGTGTTTCTGCCCATCCTTCCACTATGAGAAGACAGCTCAACACTATGAGTCTGAAAGGATGTGTAGCTGTCAAGACAAAGAAACTGAGTAAAGGAAAAAGACAAAAAAAGCAATTTTTTGCACCTCTCTGGGGGGCTGTGAGACCATGCCTAACCGCAGGCAGGATGATCAGGTGACAAGTTTATGGCCAAGCAGTCCAGACAGCATGTGTGACTTTTAGTGTTTGGGTTTTTTTGGACAATGATCTCTAAAAAGTTCTAGGCACTTATCTACACAGCAGCTTCCTGGCCTGGAACTGTAAATGAGCAGCAGACAATCTGGCCTCTTGTATGAAGTTGTGACAAGATTGTCTCATTAACGTTAAGCAAGTGTTGTCTTTATTATCCAAATGAATATCTCCTACGAGAATATGAAAAATGTGGATTAACATAATACTGTGGAAAAAGGCCTGCCCAACTAGACTCAGTATGCCCTGTAAAGAGTGGAAGCTGTAATAAAGGTAAAGGTTGGAAACACTACATACTGAAAAAATGTTACATTCTGTGCAAATTTTCTTTTGCCCGCCAGTAAAACATTACATGTATCAAAATCAACTTTTTAGTATATTGTCAAGTAGTAAGAATGGACAGGAGAGCTTAGCAATAGAAAGGAATATGGCAGATAGCAAAAGATGATACTAGAATGTCTCAAGAACAGTAACACCAGATTACAGCTTGGGGAAGTAGGTTAAATTACATTGTTTGGTTTTTCTGTTTAGATATTGTACTTTTCAAACAATAATATATTTCTTTTATGTGGGTTGTAGGCTTTCATTTTAGATGTGCCAAAGACTTTTGCTTAGACCAGTAGTACCAACACCGATCTTGGAGACCCCCTGCCCTGTACATTTTAGTGCTTTCCTTGCTTTTAGTGCTTTCCTTGCTTCTTGGGAACCACTGGCTTAGACCTTTGGATGCTACTTTCATTTCACATTTAATGACAGCAATGTCTTTTTATATATTGCAGGTAACAAGTTTCAAAAAAGAACCATAAGTATTCTGATTGCACTCATCTGGCTGTACTCACTGCTGTGGGCAGTGTTTCCCTTGCTGGGTTGGGGGGGGTATGGACCAGAGCCATTTGGCTTGGCTTGCTCTGTGGACTGGGCTGGCTACCAGCACTCCTTGAATGGTTCTACATTCATTATGGCTCTGGCCATCTTGTGCACCATTATCCCATGTGGAGTCATCTTATTCTCCTATTCTGGCATTGCCTGGAAGCTCCACAAGGCCTACCAGACCATCCAGAGCCATGACATGCTGCCCAACACTGGGGGTGTTGAAAGGAAAGTCACACTAGTAAGTTTTCTTTTTTCCACTATGTCTGACTCTGAATATCACATATCTGTGGTCTGGACCCCCCTAAAGATGAAGACTTGTTGATGGGTCCATGCTATAGTAATTGGAAGTGACATGTTTACGTTGACATTTGAGCATAAGCGGTCTCAGTGCAGGCCGTTATGTGTCCTGTAGTAGAATAAATTTACTTTCTGAAGTGAAATTTGTCTGAGGCACAGTTAGTGATATTCTGGCAAATTAGACACTAGATGTGTGTTAAGTTCTTTCATTTCTGAGCAATTACCACCAACATGGAACCAAACATTTCCATTCTATTTTGATGGTAAAGCCTACATTTTCTATGTGTGAAGAGTAAGAGCAGTCAGCACAGGTGATGTCACCTAATATTCATTGTACATAAGTAGCATACTGGTCATTAAATATAATGTGTCTTTACTCTTTTGCATATAAAATAATGACAGAGGTCATATAAGGGTCACTCCACGCCAGTCACTTCATGTATTTCCATGAAAAAATTCAAGCAAAGTCATACATCCATAAAAACTTTTTAAGTTGATCTCCATTTAGTTTTGTAGTTATGAATTCTTTAAAAAATGCCATATTAGGCTCTGAGTTGCATCTTTAAAAAAACTTATAAATGTAATTAATTGAGTCGAGATGTTTTCTGGGTATAAATACAACACTAAGAATAAAACTTCAGTTTCATTCCCACAACCGGTTAATTTATTATAGGGTATACATTTTATGTCAGATATGTGCAATATTTCATTTTCGAAATCCAATCTTTCTGTCAGTTTTCAAAATAAGTTTCTTCAAATTTACTTTTTCTATTAAATCTATGAATCATTAATGTATGTAAGTAATATTTGAAGCTACATCATGACTTTAACGTGGCTTCAGAACTAAAATGAATTTTATATGTTTTTTGACCTTATTTTTTCTAAAAGGTTTCTGATCCTATTTCTGTCTAGGTTTTTCCTATATAAGAGAAGTTATGTTTGATTAACATATAAAAAACTATAAATAAAAAAACTTTAAATAACCATAAAACAAATAAAATGAATAGAAACCCCAAAATAATCTTTAATGCTGCAGAAAGTCTGTACCCTTCTTTCAGAGATAATATGCTTTTTTGCCTGGTAGAAGAGGGGGCAGGCCAAACCTTCACTTTTATGAAACTTGTTTTTAAGGGTTCTTTAGTAAAGACAATGGTTCTATATGAAAACCGTGAACACTTAAAGAACTATTTGTTTGCTCAAAGGGTTTTTACATAGTGAAAATGTTTTCAGACTGATCGAGAATGTGCTGTATGTGGTTCTCTATGAAATCCTTTTGAAAAAGGTTCTATATAGCATCAAAAAGGGTTCTTTTATTGTTATGATGTCAAGCTTGTAGTGATAGCAGAACCCTTTTTCTGCTACACAGAACCATGAAGAACCTTTTTCAGTTCCATATTGAACAAATATCTTTCCAAAAGAACCCTTGCAGAACCACCTTTTTCAAGAGTGATGCTTCTCAGTAGCTATAGGGAGCGAAAGGATGAATTCAGTCTGTAGAAATATTTTTCTTACACTCACCAAAGGACTTGCAGAAGCAGTTAGCTATAACATTTCAGAATCCCCCTCAATAATCCCACCCTAGAGATCTTTCTGACCGTTCTCCTTTTTCTTGGCTAGTGTGTCTAATATAAGCACTTCAGGCTGTATCAGCTGAGCGCTGCCCGCTGGCCTGGAAACACTGAAAGTATTGTTAGCAGCATCTCCTTCAATCAGCACATCTCTCTCTGATGTTTCAGATGGCCATTCTAATCAGCTCTGGCTTCATTGTCTCCTGGACACCCTATGTGGCCATCAGCCTCTGGACTATGTTTCACTCTGAGGGGAAGGACAGCGTGGCACCTATTGTCAGCATGCTCCCCTGCCTGTTTGCCAAATGCTCCACAGCATACAACCCCTTCATCTACTACATCTTCTGCAAGTCTTTCCGCCAGGAGCTGAGGCAGCTCCAGAGCTGCTGCAGGTGCCACCACCCGGTGACTGAGCTTCCTTCTGCAGAAGAAGAGCACAATCAGTGGAAGATCTCAGTCATACTCAAAAGTCCAAGAGAACAGAGACGTCAATGCACTTCTCTAGGGGTCTTTCAGACCACTTCTTAAAGCAGGCAGGATGACCAGGTGACAAGTTTATGCTAGTCCCAGAACAGCTTTCCAGACTGTACATAGACAATGATCTCTGAGAATTTTTGGGCCTCCTAGCCTCAAACTGTAATGAGCAGCAGGCAATTAGACCTCTCATACAAAATTGTGACAAGACTGTCTCAATAACATTAGGCAAGCGTTGTCTTTATTATCAGAATGAATAACTCTTGAGAGAATATGTAGATTAACATAATACTGTGGAAAAAATTGCCTGTCCAACTAGACTCCGTATGCCATAAGCTGTCAAATTGTGAGCAAGGTCCCAGGGAAAGCTGCAGCTTCAGCTCAGAGCTGCAGAGAAAGATCTATGTATCAATGAATCCATATAGTTGGTGATGGATGGTGATAAGCATTTGGGAGGGGATAAATACTGAATTCTGCTGTGAGTTATACTAAGTTATAGTCTTCTCCATTTTGGCTGCTTGCTTTTGACTAAGAGCACAAATCTTATGTAATTAATTAATGTGTTCATTTAGTGTTTATGGCAATCAGATGAATGAAATTATGTTTATGACAGAGAAAAACAGTAAAGCAGTCAAATTACACCAGTTTAAAAAAATCAAAGAACAATGAGGGACGAGAGAGCAGCGTCACCCTGAAAACAGGAGAGCACTGGAAAGGACAATTGCTGGGAAAAGTCTCCACTATCATATAAGACTGCAGATGGTAATATACTACTAGCTAATCAAAACACAGGAAGAAAAATTATCACTAGCAAATCAGAGCACAGAAGGCCATATACTACCAATTAGAAGGGAGGGAGAATTCTAGTAGCCAAGTCATATGACAATTTCCAATATTGTAATATAATAATGAGATAATATTTTTGTTATTCAGATTTCTAGGCTACATTTTGATTCATATCCATTAATGTTTGTGAGAACATTTAAATGTACCAGTATACAACCGCGTGTTGAGTTATTATTGTTTATATTATATGTAGAAAAGCTGTATACATGAGGTCTAAAGCAGAAAGAACTAGAAAGAAGTACCTTTAAGCAAGGGGTGAAGTAAACAAAGTACAGTTACTCAAATATTTTCCACTCCTGCTTTAAGACCACTGTATTCTGTGTTTAACACCAGCTATCAATTGTAGAATTCTATAGTGCAGTGATTGTAGGGAATATAAACCCAGTCACAGCTGTGCACACAGCACTTTCAGAGAATTTGGTGAATACATATTGTACAGTCATGTGATTTACTTGTTCATGAATTTGCTTGTATAAGACTAAGTGAATTGTTTTACAGTAAGACGGGTTTGGTATTCCAACAAATTGTATAACTATTTATAAAGTTCATGTAGACGATCATCATTTGTGCAATTCTGAAAAAAATCTACTGCAAAAAAGAAATTTCAAATAGTCCATTATCAAACCGATTAGCAAATAAATGTTTCTTTCATTTAAAGCTGTTAAAACACCCTCCATTGATTAAAAAAATTCAGGTAAAAGTCTTAACATTCATTCTAACTATAGATATTGCATTCAGCCAAAATGGGACACTTTTTGCTAAATGCATTGGGTAATAAAATCCACACACAATCTTTTGTGTTTTTGAGAGTTGTCAGGTAACTCAAAATAAATATATTAAACCTCACTTGGTAAACATGTTTAGAAAACTGGACAATACTTACAACCCACTCAAAACACACACACACACACTCACGCACACACACACACACATTTTCTCATATCACAATACTGTTTATCCTACTTTACTTAATATTCCACTTTTACTGAACTCTACTTACCCCACTTAAAATTCTCAGGTACAGTGTTTAAAAAAGTGTGGACACACTAAATACTGAAAAAGAGAGTGTGTGCAGTTGAACACCTGTGTCAGCACCGAGTGCACCTTAAAGTGTCTGAATTCACTAATTTGAAGGTGTGTTTAGATACTTTTAGACATGTACTGTATTTTCATGTCATGGATTTATTTTCAGGTTTCTTGGTGATTCTGTGGATTCAGTTTTATGCTGTATACCTGTTGTTATACTGTGCCAGTCAAAACCCATTAAGGCATTAATACTGCTGTGCTCTTCCACAATACCCAATAAAACATCTGCCACACAAAAAAAAAACAATTTAACAGCTATGAGTACACAGCAAATTTGGCCTGCCCCATTTATGGCAGATTGATGAAAATCTTGATGCTCTGCCCTCTTCTCAGGTTATCTGTAACATATTTTTGACTACCATGCAGCAGTCCTGTACAAGGTGTCCCTATGAGCTTTTTTGAAAGTGTGCTGTTAATGTTCACTGAAATGAGCAGAAATACATTGGTATAAGTCCCTTTTGTTTGCCTTTTGTACAACTAATTTTTTTTTTTAACTTTGGCTGGCCTACTATCGTCACTTTACTGAGGTACTGTAGTTTTTACTTTTTTGGTATGTATATGTGGGTTTTGGAATATTTTGTTCCAGTTACATAAAATAAAATCTGTCATTTAGTTGTCAACAGATTTGTCAACTGATTTGCATTGATTGTTAATGATTCAATGCTGGTGATTTTATGGAAGTTTAATTTAGCTTGATCAATGCTTGTCAGTATTGCTTGTGCTAACAAGAAATGTCAGTTATCAGACTGGTCATGTGGGTAGCATGACATAATCTCCAAAACTTGGTGATGCTTCCTTAATTAACAATTTATCATTAAATTATTTTTTAAATTCAAATTAATGGATTTATTATAAATACAAAAAGAGCTAAACGTGCACATTTTAACATAGCTCCCTGTACTTGTTCCCACTACAGTTCATGTAAGAGTTCGGGTTGATTGTCTCAATAATATTTATTGCTTACCAGAAACAAACTTTGGCATAGTTTGTTTTTATACAGAATGATACTCTGCTTATGACACCCAACCGCCTTTTTAAAAGCTAATATTTTATCATGCTAATAATATACCTACTTAATGTTCCTCTCATTTTATGCAGAACACCCTGAGGTTCTGTTACAGCTAGTTTTGACTGATGTATTTGGTTCATTTAGTTCATGATAGGAGAGTCAGAATAAGAAGTGTGACAACCAAGCTAGTGTTCCCCTACTCAACATTAGAGTACTTACTTTGCCCATTACTGTATAGATATGTAGGGGATGAGGAATGTGTCCTCATATGCATCAAAATTACAGTAGCTGAATCCATTATGTACTTTCGCCACTCAAAAAAATTAGCTGTGCTACTTATCCTTTCAGACTCTAACCTACTCAAATTTACATGAACAACCTTAGATGCTTCTTGCTGCACTTTCAGAGGAAATGACGGTACAGCAGTTGACTATTTCTTTTGAACTGCTGTTTATGTTTGAATTCACTTAAAATTTTTGTTAAAAGAATAAAAAGCTCTGGCACTGTCCTCTAATTAAAAAAGGAATTGCATATTTACAAGTTGGGATACTATACAAAATATAAATAAAAACAGAATTCAATGATGTGCAAATCATTAACAGAAATGGAGATACAAGGTTTTATTCCAACAGCAGCGTAATATTGCAGTGCAGTGCTGGGAATGAGGAGTTGGTTATTAGACATTTTATTCAAAAAAGAAGTGACTGATCTCTTAGACTTGTTTTGCATTGAAATGAGTATTTAGACTGGTTCATAACAAATTGCAGTGTGACAGTTTTTTCCACATTGGGTTTATAATGTAGTTATAACTGGAGTTTGGGGGGAAGAACATGCCTGAAACCCCTCCTTCTTTCATTCTAATGCCCAATAAATTCACATCCTCAACTTCCGTTCCTGTGAAGAAGTGTTTTCAATCCTCACCGCCACCCCACCATCTCCCTGTTCCTCAGTCCGACGTCACTCTTACCGTAGCGGTGAGGGGGGTCTGTCCTTCTAGCTACAGGCAGAAGCTGCCCAGAACTCCGGCCCAAATTCTCATAGTTCTCCCTCCCTCCCTCACACTACCATCACATGCAAAGCCATGGTCCAAACTCACAAACTCCAATTATAATGTGGGATGTCAGCATAGACATTCCTTTAAAAAGATGATAAATAAGCAAGACCTCAGAAGATTTACCACAAGATGCAAACCTCTGGCAAGCTTAAAGAACAGAGAGGTACATTAAAAAGGTTCTACTGTTTTCCTTTATTACTGATGATGTGAACGCTGGTAGTAAATTAGAGTAGCGTATTTAACTGCATAGATCCAACTAAAATGCAGTTATCGGTTAGAAAATATTACAACCAAGTACTAAATATGACAATTTTACTTAAATGGCCGGATCCCATCTATTGGAATAATAAACTGTAATATGTAATAAGCCTGGGATTTTAATGGGTTAAAGGAGACACATTTTATTCTTTTTTCTCAGTTTATTATACTTCCCTGTGCTATTTGAAAGACATCAGTGATGGATGGGATGAAAAAAATGCTTTAATTCAGCTCTTCCATGGTGTGTTTTAACCTAGAATTTTCTCATCTGTGAAGAAAGTGTTATTTTCTGAGCATTGATTCTGTAGTCAAATGAGAAGACTTTCACTGGCTCACTCCATTATTGTGCTGCTGTGTATAGCATGCAGTGGACCACAGCATTTTGAGACTGTATAGCATCTTGTAGCTAAGCAGTACTAGAACATATGTACTGCCTCTTCACAAACCCACTGTTTTTGAGCTGAAAGATACAAGGTGAAAAAGGACTAGGCTCAAAACATTAGCTGAGTTATCAGCATTTGTCTGTTTGCCTAAGAGAGCGACTGCCTTTCTCTGTGTAAATTTCATGCCACATGTGATCTACTGTGGCTTTCTGTCATCTCGATATGGCTTTAATTAATTTAGTCATGACAGAATCCTAAGTATGGCACTGAGAAATTGAACAGAGAAGTGTTGACACCAGTGCACACAATAAGATTTGAAATTTTTGTATGAAGTGCGACGCCTCCAGTGTGCAATGGCCTTGAATGTTCCAACTGGAGCTCCACAGTTAGAGTTGGAATGTAAAGAGACTGTTGCAGAGTGTCAACCACCAACCAGGAGTCAGCAGGATGTTTCAGAATGGTAAGAGTTTGCGTTCACATTCATAGCCCTGTTTCACTTAGTGAATGTATATGTGGTGTGTTGACTGTGCTGTTTTGCTGCCTTAGCAAACACACAGGAATTTAGCTAGTGTTAACAGTCCTATATAGATTTCTCAGAGGCATCTAGGCAACATGTGCTTATCTCAGACTTCTCCTGCATATCAGATTTTCAATTACTAGTCTGCTTAAGGTCAGTAAACTTACCTATACAATCCACAGCTTGAAAACATGACTCACTGGGAAATCTCGTTGTAAAAAGCAGAGGCGGCAGTAAAGGCTGGGTTGGTGGGTATGGTTATTCTAGTGGGGGGGGGACTTTGCTGTGATTTAGAAACAAGAAGAAAAACTCAGCAACCTGTTAAATCAAATGCCTTTTTTTTCAGGGAATTATGCCAAAATGGCATTTCATGATTTCTCATATGGATTACAGTGACAATTAATGCAAACATGAACTGAGAAGGAAAATGTAGTTTGGTTTACTTGGTCTCCTTTATGTTTATGTTAACTTGACCAAGCACTTATTGGGTATGATCAGTGAAGACAACTATCATAGGTTTAACCAGCCCCCCAATTTTTTTTACTGGATCCCCTCCAGGCTCAAACTGCCCATCCTGAGATTACTGTAACATTTTCAGATCGGTAGCCTGACCTTATAGTTGGCTAGTCCA